TTCAAGTTGGTGGCCACCTGATCAGCAATTAACAAGTTAAATTGATCTTTAAGCATTTTAATAGAGGTTTTTAAGTTGATATCTGTTGGTCGTTGCAGTAGTAATTTTTCTTTAGTCCCAATTTCTTTTTCCAAGTTTAATCTAATCTGTATTTGCTTGCGTTTGTGTGCATTATTCATAGCAATTAATATTCCCCTTAAATAAGCTTTGCCAGCATCCCAAACAATATTTATAGGGGTTCCTTTATTCAAATTAAATTGAAAAAACTCTTCCATAGATTCCTTCAAAGCTTTAACTTTATCCTCATAATTAAACAAGTTTTCATTTATTCTCCAGGATTTCCTTTTTCTTTGTTGACCAATCTCTATCCACACCATGCTATGATCAGTCAAAGTTCTGTGGAAAATTTTAGTTTTATTACAGTCAATAAGCAAGTCAGTCGATGTCAAAACAGAATCAATCCTTGAAAACGACTCATGTCTATGAGAGAAAAAGGTAAAATCACGTTCATCCATATGTTGTGATCTCCAAACATCCACCAATTCTAGATCCTCCATCATTGCAAAAAAAGACTTAGGTAGCCTGGAAAGGGTTACATCCTTAGAAGTTGTTTTTTTGTCTTTTAGTGTATCAAGAACACCGTTCCAGTCTCCCATAACATCAAAGAATTATAATCCATAGCCACAATTTTCTGATGTAATTGTCTATAAAATTGTTTTTGGGCTGAAAGTTGGTTAGGGGCATAAACCCCTATTATTAAACACTTTCTTCCATTTAAGTTTATTTCCACAAATAGAAATCTTCCTTCTTTATCAGCTTCTTTTAAAATAGGTGAAAGGTGTCTTTTAATATATATTGCAACCCCAGCTCTTTTTTTTAAGGCAGATGCAACAAACAGATCTCCAAGCTTAGAGTTCAATAATAATTTTTGATCTTTAGCCACAATATGAGTCTCTTGTAAACATGTAATATCATTGTTAAAATGTCTTAGGTAATGAAAAATCTTACGTCTTTTATGGGGAACATTAAGTCCACCCACATTCCAGGATATAAGCTTACACAT